GGCCCAATTTTGAGCAACTTGACAATCTGCTGACAAGAGCACTATGCCAGTAGGAAACCCTGGTGTACACTTCACATGCAAATCATCATTTATTTTTAGGTTACCTTCACTGCCTGTATGAACTCTTTTAGGGTAATTTCAGGACTACCATTCATTTCCCATCTTGTCCACAAAGTGTAAAACACTCCATCACTACAAGACAGTAGCAATTGAAGTCAATAGTACAACACATTAAACTGCAGCACATTATGATCAACTATACAGTAGACGCCAAAGCTCAATAATGATGTGGGCTAGTTTTGAAATTTTAATAAAAATTAATTTTAGGCAGTGTGCCAATTAAACCTGAAATTACTGTAAATTGGGTAATATTCAATGGTCAAAATACGGAATAAAAATAATGTTAGAAATTTTCATAAGCTACCTATTTATCTTAATATATTAATAGGCAAAAATTATTAGCAATTCTAAATTTAGTATGCCTCATTGCTTTACGTAAATTACCATCATGCAAAATAAACCAGATTTATGGTAATAGGCAGTAGACACTATTAAAAGTGATCTTAATAACTCTGCTTAATCAATGGGCATCATCAAATCAACTATCATTTAATTGTTCTAAAACTAAATTTATGATTTTCTCCCACAAGCCTCAATTTATACTTTTGATCACCTTCCCCTTCACCTAAAAGATTCTCTAATTGAACGTGTGCTTTAATTTAAATACCTGGGACTACATTTCACATGCAATCTTTCATGGAATCTTCATATCTCTTCAGTAAAAAAGGCCCATAAAGTCAAGGGCGTAAGGAGAAAAAAAGGAAGGGATAGGCTACGAGTAGAAAAGGGCGCGAAGCGCGCCGCCGATTTGGCCACGCCCACTTTTACGGCCACGAAATGGGCACATTCTCGCAATATGAAGTTTCCTTTACTCTAATATCTATGGTTCTCGCAACTGCTTCACACTCAGACTCAGATGAGGACTCAGGCAAGACTCAAGGTAGCAGCACAATCAACAAAATCATCATTCACAAGATTATCATCTTCAATCTCCTCATGCTCATCTTCAGTACAAATAGTCTATATGGGGGTTGACTACTAATATACTCAACTAAATTTTGCATAAAAAATGACAAAGCTTTTGTTTCTTTGCAGCTGACATTGTGTTGGCTTCACTTAAAGTTAACTTTTTATAATTTTATTAAGCTAGCTAATTAATTAAGTTAATTATGTAAAGACTCCACCTTAATAAATTATAATAATTGTGCTAAAATGGCTGTTTTTCTTTTCTTTCTCCTGTCTCTGTTTGCCTGTGTCAAAAGTGACTGAGTGAGTAACTGCCAGTTGAGACAGCTGCCCTAAACTTCTATAATCTTTGATCATAAGTGACTAAGGCAGAAACTCAATATAGGTAAACTACTAAACTTCAATTTTGACTTCTGAACTTCTGGGTAGGCTATAGCCTACCATAGCCTTATGCTAGCTACGCCCTTGCATAAAGTAATAGAACTTATTGTCACTTTTATCGTAACTCATCTTCCTCAACTCTCCTTAGTCTTTATGTAACTCTAATTCATCCCATTCTAGAATATGCTGCTGTTGTTTGGGATCTAATTCCCCTTCTGTCTCTTCTTCCATTGAAGGAGTTTAGTATTTTGCATTAAAAATGGTTTCTAAATCTTGGTCTTCGTCATATAGGGATCTTTTGTCCAAGTTTTTTCTTATTACTTTAGCACAACATCGCTTGGGATTCAAACTTATCACTTTGTTTAAAATTAAAGAAAGCATGCTTTTCTCATCATCTCATCCTCTAATTCAATTTACTCCTTCTTTTTACTCTCTTCGCTCAAATTATCAAGGCAATCTTAAACCAATCATCTGCAAATCCTCGTCCTTTCTTCACTCTTTTTTCCCATCGAGCATTAATCAATGGAACTTTCTCCCGTCCTCTATCAAACTATCTCTCTGTATTTCTAAATTAAAATCATTTATTTCATCTAACCTATATTGATAATTTATTATTAGCTTTTGCTATAATCGTTTAAAAAATATCATTGGTGACACCAATTATTATCATCCAGATTATGGAGAATGGACAGTTAATTCTCAAATTTTCTACACAACTGACATAACATAATATATGCTTCAGAAAAAAAACTAAAAATGGAAGATTCTTGTCGAAATACTCTGGTCCTTAGCCAAATTTTTGAGCAACTTACTTAACAATCTACTGACAGAAGCTGCATGACCACTATGCTACAATTCTGTGGAAAACCCTGGTATACTGCTTGTGCATGCATGTATATATAGAATTTAAATGTTTATACTTATGTTGCTGATCATTTAGGCTTCTCAGCTTAGGATATAAAGCAAGGTCTTAGTGGCTAAGAACCCATGATCTGACTCTACTGGTAAAGTGAAGGAGGATCGTGATAGATTTAATTTAAACTCCCTCTGGGTGGTAGTGGAATGACAAGCATATAGACACTGGAGCTAGGTATCAGACTTAAAGAGGATTAAAAGGTCCATAGTCTCCATACATATTTACCAGCTTTAGCAGTGGCACTGGTCTGCATGTCCATTTGGTCACATATTTTATTTCATTGCTCTTCAAGCACCCTTTGTAATTCATCATCTCCTGCACATGTAAAATTCACTCCAAATATATATTTGAATGTGAGCTTACAGATAAGCAACATGTGAAATGATGGTCAAGCGCAACAAATTTATTTGACCATAAAGTGACATACATGCATAATATTATGCATATATAATCGCAATGCATGTATAATGTATGCAAATATAATATTTTGTATGCATATTAGTAATAGCTGGGTTGTAAATGTACTATTGTTTTGCGAGTATACATAGAGTACAATACTAGAGTTTGAGAAAAATGTAGACTACATCAGTGAAATCTTATGATTGTCAGTTTTGTGAAAGTAACCTCTACTGTACGTGTACTTGTATAATTGATGTTTCAGATGTGCTGTTAGAATTCATTACGATGTGCTTGGTCTCTGGCCTCCTGATGAAAAATTGGTAGTCTGACAAAAAAATTGGTTAATGTTGGCTCAGCCTCACAAGTCACTAAAGGAGATGTGCTACAGATGCCCACTCTTGCAAAAACCATGATGGTATTTATGATTAAGAGCCTATTATCTGGTTTTCGCTTCCCATATCTTCTACTTCCATGTGCTAGTGAGTCTGGAGACTTGTTGTACAAACTATTTTGGGATTCAGTGTTTAGACTTTAAAATCTATTTTTAAATTCCTTACAAATATTGTAGGTAATGGGTGTCACTTTTGATGGTCTTTCAATTAATCGCCGTCTTTTGAAGATTCATGATCAATCACCTAAGTGCATAAATAAAGTGAAGAATGATTGTATATGCTACTGAGAAAAGGTAATTATTTCTAAGACTAGCTGTAATCATTGATAAATAGGTATATTTATTTTTTTCTGACACACCACATCTAATTAAAACAACTCTAAACTGCTGGAATTCTAAAGTACGGTCATTATGGGTATGTGATTGACTTAAATTAAACATGTCAAATACATTGTATATTATTAGCGTAAGGGAAAGGATATTTCTTGGGATCACCTGAAAAGATTGTATGAGTCAGATAAAGGAAAAGCATCAGGCCTTTCAATGGCTCACAAATTAAAGCACGAGCATATTTATTTAAATTCATTCTCTAAGATGCATGTTGATCTAATATCACGGGTATAATGTACACGTTATTACACAATTTTAATGAAATGTAGGTACTGAGTAACTCCGTTTCAATGGCTTTGATGTTAGTACTGGAGGATGAAGCATCGGAAACATCATTGTTTGCATCTATGTTTAATAGATTTTTTGACATGCTCAATGTCAGTAATTATACCAATGGCACTAGATATAGAAACCCCACTATATACCCATACAGACATGGTAATGATCATAGGTTAAAGGTGGGTTGTTGGCTGTACATATGCATAATTACACCTAGCTATAATTGTAATAGTGGTTAGAACAAGATTTTATTCAATTTCTTGATGAATGGGAAGATTCAGTTGAAAACAAAGAAGGGTTTTCTAAAGCAGAAAAGAATTTAATCTTGCTCAGTCATGAAACTAGAGTTAGATTACGTATTACAGGTAAATATAAAAATAATACATTTCAGTTTAGATCTAATTGTATTCAAAATATAATGCGCTCATTTGTGGAACTTGTGAGGTATATATTCTCTATACCATCAAACAAAGGTCTGGCTTTTTGAGTCAAAATATATGTCGAGACCCACTTGAAAATTTATCTATGATGGTATACGGTAGGCATACTGTATATTGGGGCTATATAGTATCTGCATAATATGAGCGAACCCTGGTATACGGTAGGGGCATCACGTGAGATCACTTGAGTTGCATGTTGAGACTTGAGATAAAAGTCATAAAACTCACAAAAGCAAAGTTGAAAGTTGCCTTGAGCCGAGTTTTATCCTTTTTGAATTTCCTCCTGTGATGGCTGCACGATCAGTTCGTGAAAGAAAATTAGACACTTCGCCTCACAGTTACATTTCTCACAGTAAACTTCCTAGGCCCCCCAGTGCTACTGCTCTGGCAAGATGTTATGGAGTGCGTAATACAGCCTATTTTGATCTTGAGTGGTCATCTGAAAGTTATTCACATGCTGATTACGGTATTGAGGAAGACAATAAGTGCACTCTGAAAGCTGTAGGGTCTAAGGTAGGTTTGTCACCAGCATGTGACAAGTTATTTCAAGGAGACGAAGAATCTGAAGAAGGGCCGGGACAGCTTGAAGAAGTGAAAGAAGACAAAATTGACCAAATAAAGGCAACAAGACGAAGTGAAGGGTATGCAAAAGAAGTCCTGTTGTGGCATTTGTCGGACACACAGGATGATCAATACGAAATTGATAAAGCTATCCTCAAAGTAAATGAGCTACCTACTCTGTTATCTAACACATTAGAGAGGCCTGATATCGTACTTTATTCTCACAATCACAAAAAGTTAATTACTACTTTTGAAGTTTTATCATCACCGATCATGGAATTCACCATTTATAAATCGATTATTGGGGTGGCGAATGTGATTCGGCTTCTGAAATGTAGGAATAAATCATTTAACTATTTTACCTGTTTCACATTACCTAGTATTCAGTCAGCTGGTGTAATTGTTAAAGTCAGTGTAGAGTGGAAAGATCTTAAGTTTTGGGTTAGTTTGACCTGTTATGAGGACATTGAAGAAGGCTTGAAAGCTATTAATGACATATATATACAGCAAACAAGTAACCTACCTGATTTGCCGACTGATGTATCAGAAACTTTAATCGAAATAGAAGCATCAGATCTAGCATTTTTGAAACTACCCAGTTGTAAGCCTATACCATCTGTAAGGCATGTAATGTTTTAATTTACATCTGAACTTGCGGAACAAAACATCTACCAAGTTTTGTATGATCCGGAGGAAAAAAATCTCTTCAAGGTAACTAGTGATATGTCTTCTTCTCCTACAAAATTTATTCATTGACAACTTGTCAAGGAATATCCTTACGTCATTTACTCTTACAAGAAAGTACCATACGGACCTTTGAGTATTGTTGAGGCTTCTGAATGCTTAAAGTATTTGCTGCTGTCAATTAAAGAAGCTCTTGAAGAGTTACATTCTTGTGGTTTGAGACACAATGACCTCAGATTACCAAACATGTGCTTTTATAGTGAGTACGAAGCGATATTAATTGATTTGGATACCTGTACTCCTGCTGAATAATGTCATCCATCATTTTCAGGTGCAAACAGTTGCATGTACAAAGCTCAGCATTTGCCTCATGATGGGAATACTGACTACATGCAACTGGGATGGTTAATAGTTAATGTACTAGATCCTGCAGGTGACAAACACAATAAAAAGTATGAGGAGATACGAGAGGAAATTCAAAAGTGTGAATTTGTGTCACATTTAATTAAAGAAGGAAAATGGAATGATATCTTCTTCCAATCATTTCAACAAGGAGCGGGTGAGACACTTGAAGATGTTCTTCGCAAATTGTATGACATATAATATAATATGACATTAATTTCACTGTTTTAATTATTCAAGTTTGTAATTTTCACATTGATTGTATGTGTAGTAGTTCTATCTTTCTTATTAAATAGTTTTAATTTAGTTGCCTTTAAATGATCGGAAGAGGGAAATGTAGGAGTTACAAAAAGAGAGGCAAAGAAATTGAGTGTTGGCATGTGATGGTATTAGACTGAGACAAATTATCTTGAATTATACAGAGAAAACTTTATGGTATACAAATATGACTGAAAGCATTAAAGGGAAAATACAATAATAATTACCCCCCCCCAAAGGCAAAGAGGACGACAAAGAAACAAATAAAAAGGATATAATATTCATTTTTATATGTAAAAGATATAAACTGTATACTGGTAATGAATTATCATTATAAGACTGTCCTAAGCTATCAATGGATTGATTGAATACAGTCACTTGCCCTCATTATGATGATGCTGCAGTAGTGTGTCAACATGGTGTAGTTCACTCTAATTGTACTACTGTATGTCAGATTGACTGATGGGTCAACACAATATGAATGAAGAGTTGAAGTATGTTTTAATGGAGCACTGGGGAGTATAGTTAGTGATTATGTATAACTGGAACGTTCATGAAGCTACTGTAGCTGATGAGCCTGATAAACCTATTAATAAGGATGAAATTCAAGTCAGTATAACTCTATCAAGTCATATTTAAAAAATTTTGCTCATATTTTCTTCATGAAAATAATGTTCTAATCTACTGAAAAATATTTCCAGCTATCTCTGGAGTACCAGTATGATATAGTACTTTATTATTCAATTAGTACTTTTTTACTTGGAAAGCTTCTTGTACCTTTAAGGGACCTATACCTTGCATAAATATTTTGCATAAATGAGGCCAACAAAGCAAGCTATGTTGGCTATATTGTGTCATTATAAAGCCAACCAAAAGTCCACATTTGCATAGGTCATTGACATCTTGATGACAGCCTCTCTTCTCAACTGCTGTACATAATGTAAGAGGTATTATAAAATACCATAATGATTCCTCAGCCTCTTTAATGCAACATTTCCCTTGTTTTGCACTAATTTCCTTTTCATGTTTTGATTTACTTTAAACCACTTACTTTAATTTCTTTGTCTTTTCCCTCTCTTTCCCTTTTCGCATAAGTTATCTCAAATTAATATGTAAAGCACATCAGTTAGTAGATGTGGGCATCAAATACATATTGGACAGATTGTATGGTCATGATTTTAAATACTGCTACAGGTCTGTATAGAGTATCAGTATTAGGGTATATTTTTATACAAAAAGGAAGCAATTATGAATTGGCTATATAAGGTCAATTTTTTATTGTTGGACAGAAAAATGTTGTTGTTCACAGCAGTTGTCTTCTTGTTGAGTTTCAGTGAAGTTATTAGTCAATGTCCATCTTCCTCAGGTAATTAAGACACTGGATGTGTATAACAACTGTATAGGTTTTTATAGGTATCTACCTGATGCATGATGGAAACTGTTATCCTAATGGATCATATTTTCAAGATCATAACATCAGACCAACTCCTATAGAGTGTGTATTACCTGGTGCTACTCTGGATGGTGGACAATGGATTGGTCCTAATGGAACAGTTCCCTGTCCTGGAAATAATTCCAATGTTCAATGTACTGTTGGGTCATCAGGTGCTAATCTCAATCTTCATATAAAATATCCGAGCTTTCTTGAGCAATCTGGTGATGGCTGGTATAAGTGTTGTCTACCCACTGATTGTTCAGATTCTAACACTAACACCATCTTTGCTAATATATTCAGTAAGAGGAGACTAATTAAACACTGCCAATAATTTTTATTTGTAGGATTTTCACAAATAGAGTCATTTACTATTGCTGGTCCTGATATGACAGCATATCCTCAGGAATACGAACTGAATTGTATTAAAATTGGATTCCATCAGTATGATATTGGTATGAGCATTGATAGTACTGCACTGGCTAGCTACACTCGATGTAATGACCAATGTAGTAATTCCCCTTGTCCTAGTGGTACTGAGTTAGATAGTAGTACCAACAAAGTAAGACATACCATTACTATCACATGGGATGGAATGACTGTCAGTAGTGTATCAATCAGTCAATCAACCACTGGAGATCAAAAATATCAGTGTGTACTGGGTAATCCCAGTGATGGTGATAATAGAACACGTACTTTAATCTTAAGAGGTATAGAGCATTTGTAAGTAATTATTATCACTCACGTTAATTTATTAGTACCAGCAACTGCTCCCTCTTCTCTTACTGAGGTCAACAAGACAATCAACACTATCACTGTCAGTTGGACTGCACTTGATTCATCTGATGCTGATGGATATGTAGTCAATGTCACTAGTGACACAGACACTGTGCAGACAGTACAGGTGGAGGGAAGTAGTAATAATGCAATCACACTGAATGGACTGAGAGGAGGAACAGCTTATAGCATCACAGTCAGAGCCTATCAACAATTACTGGGACCTGCTAGCACGATCAGTGTACAGACCTTACCAGGTATTGCTACTGCACCTTTAACATTGTTGATGTATTTTAGTTATTAATTCAATCAACTGGACACTAGTCTCATTCATTACACAACTCAACTACACTCAATATCGTATTGATTGTCTCACAACTACTGATATAAATCCTTCAACTGATGTTCACTGGTTAGTGAATGGAGTAATGAAGAAAAACTCAAAGTATTCATCAATTGATGTCCTGACATATAACAACACATTACTGGTTTATCCTGATCCACTGGGAGTGTCAGTAAACGTTACCTGTATTGCAATGCTTGGAGGAGTCAACTATCATCAATCTATGATATTACATGGTATGATTATACTTTAATCAATAGTAGATACACTTGTATCTTTTTTAGCTCCTAGTGGTCCTCCAAATAATGTGAAAGGGTTTATATTAAATGCTACTAGTATCAAAGTGAACTGGACCAATTCATCAGAGACTAATGGATATGTGATTGAGTATACTACTGGAGGTGTAACCAGGAATGTAGTATCTACCAGTGAGATGAAAATTTACTAACAAATCTCCCACCAATGAGTACCTATACCATCAGTGTGTACTCATATATAGATCTTCCTTCAGTTAATAGTACAATAACAGTGTTAAGATTTGATGGTGAGTTATTTTCATTGAGAGAGTTTAATTGATATCTGTTATTGTAGTTCCTAGTCCAGTAAGTAGTTTCTCAGTATCTAATGTCTCAACCACTGGTATTACAGTGAACTGGACTATTCCCAGTAGTGATAACTATGTAACATACTACACCATCTCCTATACTCCATCTTGTCCCCAGTTATTATCAGTGAATGAGACAGTTTCTGTTGCTCCTGATCAGTCCACTACAACATACAGTTATACTTTAATAGGTCTGTACAGTGGTATGAACTATACCATCACAGTGAGAGCTGGTAATGTACTAGGAGCATCAAAGTCAAGTGTTATATCAGCTAAAACGTCAGTATCAAGTACAAGATAATTATATTGTTATTATTTTGAGATCATTTCTTAACTAGTTCTTGTAGGTGTACCCACATCTCTTCATGTTAATCCAAACACTAATAGGATTATGTGGAATGAGATTAATTGCTCTCAACTCACTGGTAGATTCATTGAATATAATGTACTTATTGAAAATATATATGTAAATGAGCTTGTTTTTGGTGAAGTATATAACATCAGTGTAGCTGCTGTTAATTCTGTTGGAAGAGGTCCCTTTAGTGATCCCATTGTTGTAGAATTTGGAGGTAGATACATAATTATAATAATTGTGATGAATGAAACTTTTAATAGCTAGATTCAATGATGGTGGTGTTGCTATTGGGTTGGGGACTTTTGTAGCTATATTGATGATTCTATTAACCATCAGTCTTGTTGTTCATATCTACTGCTTTGTGAAGTATGAAACAATGATTATTAGTTTAAAATCAAACTTACATATTATTTTCTAAAGATTTATATACCCTGTCATTGCACCAAAAGCAAATAAATCAACTACTAAAGAGGAAAATAGGTTTGTATTATTAATAATTTTGGCATTATATTCATGTATATTTATAGAATTGTTGAAGAGATGTCAATGCAAGAATGTGAATCATATGGTCTTCATGAAGTAAATAATAAGAAGAAAGTAGTACTTTATGAGGAGTGTCTGCCTGCCGATGACAAACACAAACCAGTTGTTGTTGTTGATGAAACATCTGCTGTTGATGAACCAACTGTTTATGAAGAATTTACTGTTGATGATTATACATCATGTTAATGACATTAAAATACACATCCTTAATGCACACATACTGTAGTAATTGCTGCATTTAATGCATAATGTGAAAATATTCAAGTTTAAGGTAAAAGATACGGGTCATCAAGTTTTTAAATCAAGAGGTAATATAAATTAATTCATATCTCTGTTATTTTGCATTAGAAAGTCCATGCAACTGCTTTTATTAATGTATTTACTGTATATGCTAGATATTGTATAATCATTTGTGATTTTCTTTACACTCTCATCAACTGGTTGTATGTGTCATTATGAACAAGTTAACATTCTAATTTTCATTACAGATACAATTTTATATAATAGAAATTGCATACTAAAAAACACAACAATATTTATTAATACTATTTTACTTGCACAATAATAATAATAATAATAATAATAATAAGTTATTATTAATTTAAAAATAATATCTAACAGGAGGTCCTGGTAAATCATTATTAAAAGATAACGTCAAATCAACATAAGTAGACTGAGCAGAAACTGATTTAGCAAGAAGAGATTTCATCCTATTACAAAAATAAGACAAAATATTAACAATAATAGAAAACTGACTCTGATATTATCACAGACATAAATACTTATTGATATTAACACTGATATTAATACTGTTTCACATCAAAACTGATATATCTTACGTTTGTGTTAGTCTCTTTTTATGTCCTGGTAATAAAGGAACATATATCATTTTAACACCTAACACAACCATGCTGACATCAACATTGTACTGCAACTAATGGAAAAAGAAAAAGAGGAAGAAAAGAAAGGTAAAAAGACATATGCATGTACACCAGAATTTCCCACAAAACATGCTAAGTGAGCTAAACAGCATGAGCTTCATGAGCTGATAAGTGCTACAATACAGTACTACATGGCATTTGGAGCAACTTTAAAAAGTAATGAAAAATCTATTTTGATCAGAATCAGTTCAGAACTTCGACACAACATAAGTACATGTACATGTATATGCATCAGAAAAAATTAATGAATTTTGGCCAAAGTCCCTGTACTGTCCAATTTTCAAACAACTTTAACTGAAAAAATTTTTTTTTATTTTAACTTGATCGGAATCAGTTCAAAGCTGATACACAACATAAGGACATAAATATGCATTGGAAAATATTATTAAAACGGAGAATTTTCTCATTGTGAGTTTTATCAAGATACCCTATGGCCCAATTTTTTAGCAACTTGAAAATTAATCCACGGACAAGAAGTTGCATGAGCACTAATGTCAAAATTCTATGGGAACCCTGATGTACACTTCACATGCAAATTATCATTCATTTTTAGCTTGCCTTCACTGCCTGTATGAACTCTTTCAGTGTCATTTCAGGACTACCATTTATTTCCCATCTTGTCCACAAAGTATAAGACACTCCATCACTACAAGAGACAATAGCAATTGAAGTCAATAGTACAACACATTAAACTGCAGCACATTATGATTAACTATACATACTATTGAAATTGAGCTGTGCGTTAATTTTAATAAATTAATAAAAGTTAATTTTAGGCAATGTACCAATTTAAATCTGATATTACTATAAATTGGATAATATTCAATGGTTATAAAATACAGATTGAAAAAATTAGATGTTGGAAATTTTCATATGCTGCCTATTCATCCCAATATATTAATAGGTGAAAAGGGAATATTAGCAATTCTAATTTTAGTATGCCTCATTGCTATACAAAAATTACCATCACTTGCAAAATAAACCAGATTTACAGTAGCAGGCACTATTAAAAGTGATTTTAACCCATAGAAACAAGGGCTGCAAATTTTGCAAATTTGCCTAAAAATCTATTTTGAGGATTTAATTTTGCAAAATTACAGCCATCAATAATTTTGCACTGTGCAATATAGCCCATTACTAAATACTGCTATATTTAATGCTACCAATTCATTTATTGTTATTCATATTATACATATTACAATATCTATACTACTATCCACAGTATGTTACCTGATGCTTGTTCTAGTACAAGGAGCTGGCTCTGATAATATCAGTGGAAGTTCAGGCAGTGCCAGATTCATGAAAGCATTCTTAAATTTATCAATAGTTTGGGGAGGAGACATAGCAACCTTAATCAGCTCAAGACTAACCTGATGATAATAATATGATGCTGATGATAATAATGATTAAAAATAATAATAATAACTATTAATATTATTGAAATTTTTTGAGATTAAATTAATAAACTGAAATAAAATAATGTAAATTCTAGGGTTTACAAAAGCATTGCTCATATAGCTCAAAATTTAGTTACTACGTGCATCTCAAAAATACAGCTTATATTTAATATAAATAAATCTAAATAGAATGAATGAAAAACTCACAAGTCCAGCAACAGTAGCTGTGGTGGTTGCTATGGCTGGTACAATCCTTCCGGCTATCAACTTAGTTTTAAAACGATCAACAGTCTCTATATTATACACGAGGGCTCTTAAATTCTAAAAAATAAAAAAAACAATTATACAAGTAAGTGACAATAATGGTTGCAGTTATTAAGTGGTTATTAATAATGGTTAATTAACTAACATACTGAGGATGCAGTTATAAAGTCAATGTGTCCATTTGAGTCATCATCTTTCTCAAATGAGAGAGGATGCATTATTAATTGATCTAATAATTAATAAATTAATGTAGGGTAGAGTGGTGTCTACCTGGTGTTATAGTTGATTCTGCTGCTAAAGTAAAGAGGGATTGCCTGCAGGATTCAATCTTGTCTAAGGATACTTCCTCTTTTTCTGGAGCCTTGGCATTCTCATCAGTCTCTATCCTCTAATAATAAAAAACCATAATAATTAATAACCATGTAACCACTGCAGCTACTATTATTGTTGCTGTTGTTGTTGATGACTTACTTTGGTTGAAGCAATGAACTTTGGAATGATGGCAGTAGCTGCAACTTTAATAACATACTCAACATTAAGATCCTATTAATTAAAAATAAGAATTATTATTATTATTATTATTATTATTACCACTATTTACCTGTTCAGTGTATGATATTTTATTAATTTGAGCTAACAATTTAGCAAAACTAATGACAAACATAATATGCCTAAAAATTTTAATCAAAAAATATAATTAAAAATCTAAATGACTACTTGAATACATACATTGATTCAGTATTGTTGAATACTAGGGGAGTGGGAGGTCTCTTTGGTGACTGCCAGAATAAAGCTACAAGAACATGAGATTATCATGTGATACTATTACTATGCTACTTACATCCATCAGGCATCTTAGTGTCCAGTGGGAATGCAGCCAATAGGTTTAATGCCTGAAATAATAATATAAAATTAGACTTGGTTGACAGGTATAAATTTTACCTTGTGGTTAAAGTATTTTTCAAATTTTATACGAGCATATCTCACACAGTCAGTCCAGTCCTTTGGACGGAATCGAAGTAGTTTAATAACTTGAACAGAACTATCTGGTAATGGAACAGTATCATCTTTTATTGACTATTAAGAGAGAAAAGAAGAGAATGGAAATAATTGGAAAAAGAAGAAAGAAACAGATATAAAATTAATAAAATAAAAAACATTATTTATTTAATTGTTACATACTGTGGCTAGATTTGATGGCGTTTGGTGAGTCTTCCAAAATTTGTTGTACATCATTGGCTTTTGGTACCAGAGAGTCTCAAACTATAAAAAAATAATAATAATTGAGTGAGATGCAGCAGAGGGCAATACTAAAAGCTAAAAATGAAAAATTGTCTTCTTGGCTTAATGTCTTGCCTATCAAAACATCACTTTGACCACACAGCGCAAGAGTTTAGAGATACCTTGGCTATCAGGTACAAGGAATCTATACTGAATATCCACCACTGTGATAGCTAAAGTGATTTGTTTGATCTCTCCAATGCTCTATTCTGTAAAAAGGTGGTTTAGTAACCCAACATCACAATGAGGTGAGAGATGTTTTTGATGATCTAGCATCTATCATGGAGTCACATGGTAAAGGAGCCTGTACTCAGAGAAACTAATTATTTTACTAACACATCAGCATTGGTTGCAGATCTTTCTATTTGTGAGTATGGGTATTTCAGAGCAAAGTGTTGTTTTATATTAGGATTTTTGACTTCACTGATACCTGCCCACTTATGGATGCTCTTGCAGAGCAAGAAAAAGCAAGAATCATGTCATGAAATAGGAGCCCTCTTTACTCTACTGTGTTTATCTGTGGATGGTATGGGGAGAGAGACTACAGTTTTCATAAGTGGTTAGCAGAATGACTAGTCTAGCATTGAAGTGAGAATGTAATTACAGTTGTGTTGTGTTGGGTACAAACTTGTCTCACTTTTTCCATCTTACGGGCTACATTTCTGTGCTTACAAGGATCTTGGACCAAACAGAGATCTATTGACATCAGTGATGGTACACCAATTGCAGTTATCATGTCATAAATTATTATTAGTTTATTTTAAGCATATATAATGAAAATAGACTTTCAATTTACTTGATCAATTAAGCTAGTTGATAACTATTATATGTGACCATAATTGACAAAAGGTACCTTATGTCGGATTTTAAAATTCATCATTATAATAAAAAATTTCAACCTGTGAGTGCTCTGTTAGGCAACTATTGTTTCTAATAGTTACATAGTAACCTTTTGCATCCTCTGGAGTAATTTCATGATAAATGGAGCTGAGGAAGTTGGATTTTTAAGGCTATAAAGACCGATTTTCCTATCTAACATAAGGTAGCTTTCGTCAGTTTTGGTCACATATACTTGAGAGGAAAGTATTTGTAATTGTAATTGAAATACATGTATGCAGTATTCGTAATGGTATCTAAATACAAAGCTGCAAACAGTATTTGTATTTGTATTAAAATACTTTCATGTTGTATTTGATCCACAACAACGAAAACATTTGGCTGACAAAATATTAATACCAGTTATTCAACAGTACAACATGTACATATCAATGCTACATGTATATCCCCATAGTATATGGAGTTGGAGTAACATAAAGTGATCCTATAAACAGCCAAGTCAATTTCAATTTTAATAGTATATCCCGTTTCACTTGACTAGACTTGCTGTGTTGTGCTTGTAAGCAGGAAGATGCTCTCAATGAGTTTGATGTAAGTTTAATATTATTGCTATCAATGTTATATGCATTAAGATATAGTGTGCTTAGCAAAGAAAACCATCTATAACTGACCTATGATTGCTCTATTGGTTTTTTCTGTGCATACTAAAAGACACATGAGATTAGTTTGGTTATTGCTTGGATAAAAAATTCAGCTGTAGCTACCAGTAATATATAGCTAGCTAGTTGTATCATATATTTTGGTTATGCTTCCAAATGAGCAAAAGTAAAGTACATGCAGAGCCTAGATGGGCTCCAAGGCTAGTATAACAAGAGGAATCTTGATGATATTAATTGTCAGTGGCTACATACTACATAGCCAAGGATTATCATCTCTGATACAGGCCACTGTCCAAAATCAATGATTCAAACCTGATGTGTATTTTGATAGAGTCCTGGCTGGCATCAATGTTGAATCATGTCTGTTGCTCTGGATAAACCAGGACTGTACTCCAGCATGGTTGCATCATAAATGATCATCATGATTGTATCATACTAGACTGCCCAAAATCCATGATACAGGAATGTATCAGGCAGGTCATGAGTAATATCAGCCATGATTCACATTGGCTGTGTATGCCAGTTCATCAACTAGGAACATAAATGGTGAACAATAAGATTGAGAAAGACAATGAAATACCACTGCTGACACAACCATCCATAAATTGCTTACTATAAAGAAAAAGAGTACTAATTCAACAACCAATATTCATGATGTTCCCTTTCTCCTCCATCTTATTAGTAGAAAAGACACTAGGACAACTTTTTGTGTTCATATTGGAAGTCACTTACATGTAGATTGTAGTGTTACTATTGCCACCGCTATAAGAAATGCTAATGTAAGATAAAGTTAGCCAGTACTATGGCACAAGAGGCCAGTTACTATAATTCCGATGAATTTGAAGGATATTGGACACGTGACGCTGATACGTCAAATTACGCATTAATTAAAAAAGCAAAATGGCTGAATCTAATAGCTGTTGCTTTCTGCTTTTCTTAATTCTAGGTAACTCGAGAAACTTATTATGTGCTCTCACTAACTCTAATCTATGCAATGAAGCTAAACTTGTCAAACTGTTCAGACCGAATATCAATATTCCACCTACAAGTAGTTTGAGGTAATCAAATCAAGTACAATGAATAACAATAATAATCTTTTGTACTAAGAAACGAAGCAACTAAACTTGGTCTCTTGTTCATATTCTATCTTGAGAATGAGTCTAATGTTAATATACAGCCCACAGATAATCTGAGGTAATGAGACCAAGTATTTAATTAAATACATACTTTCATAATTTTTGAACTAAGAGTTCTAAAAAATGAAGCTGCCAAGATTCAACTTCTCTTTACGGCTTACCTTGAAAAGAAATCAACAACTCCTGGATAAAGTAATGACAGTACTATTATTAGAATATAGTAACATTTTGTAATCCTTTAGAATCGGTCAATCCAAACTTTCCATTCTAAACTACATTGTATACTAGGGTTCGAAAGCAACTTTAGTATAGTAAATTTATTTTTTATTAAATTGTATTTAATACATGTGTATACATGTATATATACATGTAATTTGATTTATAAGTTCAATAATTAATAATGATAACTACATGTATATAAAGAAATGACTAGGAATGGTTTAACCATTAATACATGTACAAGAGTCATGAAAGAGATTAAAAGCTTCCACTTAAGTATTATAATTATTAATTCATCTTTGTCTTTAAAATCATGTAATAAATTTAATATAAGTCTACACGTCTAAGAGTTACCATGTCCAATTCAGGACTGTTGCCCAAAATTACTGGATCAGGTGTGATATTAGGGGGTGACCACCATGCCTCCCCTTGCATAAAAAATAGGCGGGGCCGGACTAGTTTGAGATCAGTACTGGTACAGCCCTGATGACCATCATTACTAAATCATGAAAGTCAATCTGGTCAGATCCAGTATAGATGTTCATCATGCCTGTAACGTGGCCATTGTATCAGGACTGATTGCCCAAAATCCACTGATATCAGGAGTGATTTAGGCTGCTACCAATCCTGGTTTGTGTGCCAACTCTTGCTCGTGTATAGTACTTAAAGGGCAACTGAAATGAATTTTTTGGATTTTTCAATAATCAAGTCACAGTATCTATATAACATTTGAACAACAGTTATGCACTTATTTTGATCAAAAAGTCTTTTACTTGCAAGAAAATGCTCTTTACATTTCATCCTTTTTGTTGGCAGCCATCTTCTTCCTGTTTCAGCAACAATGCGGGGGCGTGCAATTTGTGATGTCATCAGATGCATTGATGGCTAGGGTTGAGCCTATTATTCTCATAAATTTTCCCATTATTCTTTCTGGAAATTCTTAATAATTTCCCCCATTATTCTTTTCATTTTAACCTATTATTCTCAATTTATTCTCAGTAATTTTCTCAAACAATCAATTTTCACCTAAGAATTGCATTCCAGCAGTGTTTAAAAAATAGGTCTTCCAAAAAACACTAGCCAAAAATTTTAAAATTTTCTTCTGCAATCACCATTGACCTCAACTCCACCCATTATTCCACTATTATTCCTATTTCCATCCAATTATTCCAGCATTATTCCTCATGTGAGGAAGCCCCTATTATTCCTAAAATTATGCTGGAATAATAGGCTCATCCCTATTGATGGCTGTTCCTTGCATCTCTTTCATGCAGAAAGAACTTGTTGCTACTGGCCATGGTAATAACAAATAAAAGCAAATTTAGTATAATTTATTTCCAAATGGTACTGGCATAACAAATATGTGATTTTATCAACTAAAAGAAGGAATAGAGTCAAGGTAGTCAGGACCAACAAAGTGCTTTTTTGTGCAGCAGTCACTTGACTAAATCATTTGGAAATAAATTATGCTAAATTTGCTTTTATTTATTATTACCATGGCCGGTA